ATACAAGGTTATTCTGTGGAATATATATAATTTTAATAATATATAATTTTATCAACAAAAGGTCTCTTTTTTCTTTGGGGAGAGGGAGTAACATGTCTTTTTATTTTATCCTGTGAAAATATAGCAGATTTACTCTTGCTTAAGCTCCACAGAAGTGTTCGTTCCCATCTTTTTACACATGCATTTCTGTTTGAGATTTTACAATTGGTTAGCTCTATTTCGCTGCATTCCGTTATAAACTGCGGCGGTATTTTCAGAATTACAGCTCTATCCAACGCGACATATTATTCTTTTTCGAGGCCTGATGGGTATTATGTGAACAGAATACTTTCATTCAAGTCTCAAAATGACCGAGACGAAAGCTTCCACGAACGAGGAAAAGGAGCTGGCACCCCCGTCTCTCGGTGTTGTTCGGGATGTGTTTGAAGAGTTTGGGGTCCCGGACGTGTCCGATGAAATATGTACTCGTGTGTTGGATGTACTTTATCGTAAGTGTTTCGCTCTCTCCTCCCCATTGATCACCGCATCGTCATCCCAGGGCACACGTGTGACATTGTTGAGGAAGCAAAAGCAATATCGAATCATGCTGGCCATTCGGCAATTGAAGAGGCTGACATGAAATTGGCCATTGAGCTCGTCAGCGATGGTCTCATGTTTGCTCCTCCACATAAAGAACAGCTGTTGGCCTATGCGGAGAAAAACTCACAACCCCTACCAAGTATCCGAACTCATCACGGGCTACGGTTGCCTACGGATCGACATAACTTAACTGCTCCAAATTATATATTAACACACCCTGGGACCGAATCGGATTCCCAGGTGGGTTCCAACCTTACCTTGTGTTGTTATTTTTAGGTTTCTCCGCATACATTTTAGAAAATATGAGTCTGATAACTTGTTATAACATTGGCCTTTTCAACCCACTCATCCTATCAGAATTCAGGAGTGTAGGACACTCACTTTCTTGCTTCGGTCACATTCACTAATTTCTTGGGTGGCGGTTCTGTACTAATTTGTTTAAACCCGATATGACTCTAGGTCTGCTTGTCATAGGTGGTTGATATCTGCCAGGGCAGTTTCTTCGTTAACAAATTCTTCCCATCTGGAGTGTGTTGAACTCGATGACACCATATTACCACAATGTATAAACACACATGATATATAGTGCCTTAAATTCAGGGACATATTCAGAAAGCTACATTCAGCCAGGCATGTCGCGGTTACCTGCTACATTCTGTGAATAGAAAAGTTTGCTTGCATTTCGCACACAGCGGATACTTCAGCTTGTCTCTTGTTTCTCCTGGAAGTCGTCTGTCCATGTTTTTTCTTATGGTTAAGTTTGAACTCGGGAAGTATTACCTCTGCCTAATTTTATAGATGGATGACAGCATATTTCATACGCTGGGTTTCCCTTAGACGAGTCAATTCACGAATTGCATCAAGACCGAAAGGAAACACATTTTTTAATTACACATTTGTTTGGTAAACAGCAAACGGGCGAACCCCATAATCACAAAAACCTGCTTCTCCGTCATGGAAACCGGTAACCTAAGCTCCGGGACTTGGAATGGCTAATCACATAAGGCCCCGTTAAACTTTCCTAATCGCTGATGCAAAACACAGGCACATCCGTTTCTAATTTTTATAGCCCCTATCTATCTGCACACCTTCCTTCAGTGCCTAAGAGACTTTAGGGCATGGTATACTTCGCGGCAGCCCAGACCGATGAAGGGGTTTTTCTTTGAGAAAGCCTAACCGGAGCCTTTGACTTGAAATTCTGACCCACAAGGCAGTGGGACGTAAATCCAACGCCGGGACGTGAACGAAGCGCCGGGTTTCCGTTAAGTGTTGTTTGTTGGTGCATTGTTTATCGGTCAGCTTTTCGGGAGCGGCCCTTAGCCTCATGCACCCATTGAGGCAAACGGAACATGGACGGAACAGCACTATTAGCTGAGAGCTGTCCAGCTTGGGGGGGCGGTAGTTGTCCAATGAATTGCGAAGAATTCTCCCACCGTCAAGAGGACGCCTCAGGTACCACGCTCCTACGTCCACCTAGCGGGTTTTTTGACCGTTAGACTGCCCCTTACGGTGTTTCAACACTGTGATTCAAGAACTCGGTGTGCTATCTATATATGTGGCTGTTTGTTTTACTTCAGCGGTTGAGGAGAATGAATGAAATGTTGATATCTCGCTACATGTGTATTCTTTTAATCTTGATAACATATATAACTATTTCGATATGTTGTAAACTTAATAAACCACTTACAAGCTGATAATTCTTATCGCCAGATTACTCCTAATCTCTCTTGTTTTCCGCTTTTTCACACTTGTGTGCACGATTAATCTTTCATAGCATCTGTTTTCGAGCCAAGTTTCGTTATTTTCTTGTCTTTCCCAGATATCCAATCCAATCGATGGAGCAGCCACATCAATCCACATGACTGCTCCCGCCTCGGGTCCACAAAATTTGTTACGGCTCACCACGTCCGGTCACGCGAATCCTTCGACCGTTCGAGTTATTGCACCACCCGGAATAGGTCCATCTATGATTCGTATCCAGTCTGTTCAAAGCATGGCTCAATTACCAACACTGGAAACTACCAGCGGCTTGAGAACTGTACCTCTAGGCTCTGTCACTTCATCAGGTAAGCATTCTCCAGTTGTAGTTTCACTTCTCATGCGTCGGTGTTGGTTGCTGTCTTTTGGCTGCCCATATGGATAAAAGAGCAGGAGGATTGGAATGTTGAGATCAGGGTCAAAGAGAAGATAGAGAATTCACATGTAGACTGTGGTTGAAAGAATACTGGGTAGATGCACGAGCGCCCCTGTTTGCGTCCATAGCAGGGTTGTCGCTCAACGTAGTCAGGATTAATTGGAAACGTCAATAGTTCGATAAATAATTGTCAGCTAAAATCACGTCGTCTTTTTTGTCATCATATTTTATCCTCCGCATCGACTTTTTCTCTATTCCCTCCATGCTCTTCTCTCGTTTCACTTCTGCAGCTAATGTGCAACGGCGATTCCCCGAAGGTCATTGACCTGTTGTCCCTCGTGTACATTCAACTTTGTTCTCTTGTGCTGATTTAGTACCGCACTGTATTTTTTGCACAATAACTTCGGCATACTTTTACTGTAGTTTCCGTGTACATATTCATGACTTGTTAAACTTCGGCCGTGGTGGTGTTAACTGCCATGGAAGGTCGGTATAGTCTTTGTTTCGTTTCGTAAATGACGTTGATCATGATCTTCACACCGGTGTTTTCCCCCAGTTTCCACCTAACAGAAAAAACCTTCACTAGTTTGAGTGAATTTGATTTTTCCCTATCGTTGAATTCCATTCATGTAATTTAATTAAATAAAACTTTGCATCACAATCTATTTTTCCACCTATGTCATTTTTTGTCGTACTTCACTGAATTAATCCATACCTTCTTATCAGAACTAAAGGCTTTGATTGAGAATCCTAATAGTCCTCTGACTTAATGGCCCGACACCCTGGCACTAGTAGTGCTAATCCATTAAACCCCAATGCATACGCAAAATAAACATGGTTCCATAATCTCTCCGTCGTCGCGCAGGATAAATAGAACCGAACTGCTGAGTGTAACGAGCGGGGGGTGGATAGTGATAAGGGGATACAACTCAGATTTTCCAGTCTTGGTTTAACTCTATCTTCCCTACCCGGGGTTGTATTCTTTCGCTGAGGAAAGGTAAGGTAATGGGAACTGGTGTGCTTCTGTTCATTCTTTTTAAGTTGAGGAGGACTCTCGATTTAATTACTATTTTACGTCCGAGCAGTTGGTCGGAATAGGGTATCCCATTATAATGGGGTGAATTGTTGATTGTTTCAATCTTTAGGAAGGGATCGTGTAACGACGATGCAAACTACCGTGGGATAGGGGTAGCTTCGGTTGTTACGTACGTGTTAACTCCTGGTATAAGTCCCAGCCTGAGGCCCTAGTGGGGATTAACATTTGAGAACAGCAAGTAGAGTTCGGACCGGGTCGCTGTTGTATCGATCGAATCTTCACGTTGTTTTACGTCCTCCAGTTACGCCATGCATATTGTTGTTCAACAACCACTCTTCCTTGATATAGAAGGAGCCTTCGATCCGGTTAACCGCGAACCCCCAATAGGTTTGCTGCTTCACCAAGGAATGCCGCAGAGATTTTTAAACCTGTTGAGATTGCTAGATTTACATACTTCTGGTAGCGTAAGGCTCTACGGCGGTTAAGCAAATTGTTCAAAATTCGCAAATGTTTGTGAGGTGTATGCTGTATTTCACCATTCTTATTCCGCTTCATGGTAGATGAAATACTGGATATTACACTAAAAGGCCTCTAGATTATTGGATGGACAGATGGAGAAAAGCTGTGCGCTGATGACATCGTTTGTCTGCTCGAATGGACGCTAAGCGCTCTTAACAGGCTAACATGTTGGTATGTGCTTTGCAGCTTCAGAGTGGTGCCGCAAGACTGTCATCTACCGTGACTCTGATGCTTCATGATCAAAAACTAGTTTCCGTGGATTGCTTCCAATTTGGTAGTTGCGTGACAAATGGTCCAGGAAGTAACCACCCGCATTTCCAAGGCTCGAGCAGCTTACGCAGGACGGAAACGCCTCTGGTGCAGACGTGAATTTTCGTTGAAACTGAAAGGCCGTGTGTACTGCGCCAGTGGGCGGTCAGTTCTGCTTTATGGTTGCTAGACCCTAAATTTGCGCATGAGAGATATTCGTCGTTTAGAAGTAGGTCTTCGACTGTCGATGTTTACCTAGTTTGGCGAAGGTTGGATGGAGCGAGCGTTTAGGCAACTCTGAGGTAGGGCGTCGCATATTTGGTAATGATTGGATTTGTCCCATTGAATTCAGATTAGTCGGATTCGCTGGTTAGGACACGTATTGCGCACGCCCAGCCATCTACCACACTGCTCCTTATTCGCAGTCGCGGCTCCAAGTTGGAAGAAACTCCGTGGAGGTCAACAGATGACGTGGAAACGAGTCATTGCACAGTGCAAGGAGCGATTAGATAGTGTGTCTCCCCTCAACTTCAAATGGTTGGTTGGGGACACTGATGTATATGATAGCTAACCGACAACAATGGTGTTCTTGTCTCTTCTTATGGTGTCAGATTTCTTGAATTGGTATTTAGGCACACTTAGGTTTTGTACTCTGTGTTGGCCATAAAAGTTCACTTTCTTTACCTTCTTTCAATTAGATCAGGTGCCTGTCCATCTTGTGCAGTCTCATTTGCTTTGTGTAGCTTCCGAGCCTATCAGCGATAAGCGAAGTTCGCCTCGCTACACTTCGCTGTGCAATGTTGATGATGACAGGTTTCAAAAGCGCGGTTGTCATTTGAGTGTTTCCATTGTTTAGTAATCAAGAGCTTGGGCACTTGAGTTAAGTTAGGTGCTTCTATAGAGATTATTAAACATTCAAAGGCGACATCATGAAATCAATGTTCAACCCATTGAACCATTCGTTATCAGTTACCTTCTATTCAAATATATGGGGGTCATAGTTCTGGATCAGCTTAAACAATATTATACCGACAACCAGGAACAACTCAGTTACTACACCCCTGTGGTCTAGTGCCTAATCCATTTTATTGTTATCAAGCTTGTGCACACCTAAAAGCTACATTCCAGTGAATAACAAAACAAATAAATGTCTTTTGTGTTCGTATTTGTATAACTTGTGTAAGCACATGCTTACATTTCAGTTGTGAATGCCCACTTTTCGTCACGCGGAATGAAATACTACTGCTACTAATAATAATTATAATAATAAAATATAACACGAAAGGTAAAGATTGTCGGTGATATTTGTTTCACGTACAAAACTTCTAACATACTTCACTTGCAACCTGTTCATTTTTAGTTAGGAGTCGGGCCAAGTAGAGTACAGGGGAATTTTTGTAAATGTTACTGCAAGAGGGTAGATGCCAAAATATCAGGGTGTAGTAGATGGAGAGGGTCATCTAAAATGTCATGGGCAAATTTAACACAAGAGTTGATGTAACCATCAATGAGTCGTGTGATTAATGAATCGATTGGGATTAATGCTGCACGCCTGATGATCGCCAAACCACGGCGAATTGTTTTGAAGTCTTGTTTTAAAAGACCGGGGAGCAATAGAGTACAATGGGTAAAACGCATTAATGAACGAAAGATGACAGAACTGATTGTGGGGTTCGGAATTGCCTCAGTTTGCGTAACTGAAAAGATAGGCGTCTCAGTTTTCCATACAGCTGTAAATACGTGTAGACCAATGCAAATTGCTGTCGATGGTGACTAAGGTCATTCTGGACACAGGTTTACCGTTAAGGGTAGTAGAGGCCATTAGAAATGAGGAGCGGGAAAGACTGAAACTACACTCTACGCACTTAGATATTCTATTTCGTCTGTTCGCCGAGTTTGGCAATTTGTTCGCAAACGTTTCATCACCAGCCGAGGTGACATCATCAATACTTTGTCAGCACTTAGTTATGTTAAGACAGACCAGATCAGCCAGAGGACTGTTGAAAGTGGGATAGATTTTCAGTCAAAGAATGAAATTCCAAAGGAGATGAAACTGTCTGACACAAAACAACATCATCAGCATACTTTTGGATGTGCGTAGATGGGACTTAAAGATCACTAATAAAGGCAGAAAAAAGATATGGAGATTGAACAACACCTTGAAGAACACCAGAATTTTTAGCAAGAGGTTTTGATGCCCTCTTTCCTAATTTAGTGCACTAGACTTTTTTTCTGGGAAATAGTCATCAAGCCATGAAAGTAGCTATTTTCGGAGTGCCAAAAGGTTCAAGTTTGAAAAGAGAGAAGGCGAATACGTTGCCATGGAAGCTTGGTGTTCTCTGTTCTGGGCGGCAAAGATTGCATTAAGATGCGTTATTTCAGACTTCATTAAGTCAAAATAGGGCTTCACAACTTGTGGTGATTTTGTTATACTTGAAATCTTTATACCACGGCATCACCCTTTTGCTGATAATGTAAATTTTCTATTCTAATCGATGTACCTACATTGGTAGAAGATTAAAACCTCGTTTCGGGCTGTCTGTTTTCTCTCTCTCGTTCGTCGCTCAATCATTCGAGCTCATCACAACTGTTGCATGGTGAGATTTGTAGGCCTTTTCAGCGGTTTCAAAAAGGGTGAAGCAATTCTACCGTTTCCAAACAGAGTTTTCATGGGCCAACACAAGTGAATGCTCGATTGGATCGTGCCAGTGAACAAACTTAAATTTCAGAAGCGATGAATAAGGTTCAAACCAAAATGGAACAATCACAATAGAACGGTTGAGAGGAGACATGCGACTGGGTGAAAAGTCCCTTAGATGGAATGTGAACTGATTGACAAGCAGTGCGAGAGTATACCTTTGCGCATTTGAATCACAATTACTTGTGAGTAGTGGTGTGGAATAATTGTTTTTTATTGATTTGAGCTTACTATCCTTCGGACTTCACCTTCACGCACAATCCTCAGTTCATCGCTTCAACCATACACTCAGAAGCACTAAACTCGAGATTCGCTCTCATTAGAGCTCATCAGTAGTGCATATCCACCGTCCCGTCCGGGATTTGAACTCCGAATCCACCGCATGGAAGGCCTGTGCGTTACCACTGTGCCAACCAGCTCATAAGATGGCTGAACCAAATTGCCAATTCATGTTTGTTCAGGTGTCGTCTTCAGTGATAGTTCATTTGGCCCGACAGCAATAAAAACCAATTATCCCACACCACTACTCACAAGTAATTATGAGTCAAATGTGAAATATTAATCCGGTCTTGTAGGTTCGTTGGCGAATCAGTCTGTATCTTCATGGAAGTCCTGACTTGGTGGGAAGCTTTCGATCGGAGTTAAAAGTATACCTTTGGTCTAACAAGAAGAAGACAACGATCAGTGGATTGAGACCAATCGCCACCGTCAGAAAGTGCCAGTGTGTCCTCACTGTTATTGGATCCGCGGGATCCAGAGTAACGGACAGAATGCGGCAATATGACTTTTCCATTTTCTCCATGGGCGCTTTCGTTATTTCTAT